TGTGTGTGTGTGTGTGTGTGCGTGTGTGTCTGTCTGTCTCAGGTGTGTCTTTTTAACTGGAGCTTTTCCTTGGCTTTTGCTGCTCATAGCTTGTGCTCTGCCATTTGAGCCATGCCTCCAAGCTGGCATTTTGCTGGTGAGTTGGAGATGGGCCCTCTCATGGGCTTTTCTGCCTGAGTTAATGTTGAGTTGCGATCCTAAGATCTCAGCCTCCTGAGTTGCGAGGATTATAGGCTGTAACCCAGCAGCGCCTGGCAGTTTGGGGGTTTCAGGTTGCTGTTTACTTATCTAGATACTAAGTTTGGTTGGGAGACGTCATAGCAATGTCCACTGGGCTTGGTGAGGTGATACTCCTGTAGCCTGCTCGAAGCACACACCACATGCAACTCTGCAAACGTCACCAGTCAGCCCCCACCCCACGAGAGTCTAGACATTCTTCAGCTTTAGGAAGCTGCTTATGGAAGACTTAGGTTGCTTTACGGCACATATGCTCAGATACCGCATTTCCTCTCATTACCACGCAGTGCCTGGCCACCCTGTAGGAGGCGCTGTTCTAGACTGTGGCAGCGGGTAGAGGAGCCAGGGCCCAGGACCAGAGCTAATGGGCACTGGATGAGTTCCAGAGGGCCAATTCCACAGCTAGGTAGGAACAGGGCGTCCACATGGCCACCGAGGTGTGGCTCTCTGCGGTGTGCCTGGATTCCCAGTGTGCCGGGAATCGTGGTGTGCCGGGAATCGCGGTGTGCCAGGCTACTCCAGATGAGATAGGACCCAACCCAGGTGTGGATGGCTGCAAAGACCAGAGCTTTGCGCAGCCTCTGGACTTGCACTGGGAACCTTGCCTTGGGGATGGATGACAAGGAAGGCCGCTTCTCAGGAGACCTGTTGGTCATTTTAAGATTTTAAAGCCCAGCTGAAGAAGTGGAGAATCCCTCAGGGGACGGGGGGGGGGGGGGGGGGGGGGGGAAGAACAAACAAACCACGCACTGACTGACTGAGAAAACCGGCCCAGGCTGGCTGGCCCCGAGAGAGACTGCCTGGGGGTGGGAGAAGGGGCGGGGCGGGGAGGAAGGAAGGAAGGAAGGAAGGAAGGAAGGAAGGGAGGGAGGGAGGAAGGGAGGAAGGAAGGGAGGAAGGAAGGGAGGGAGGAAGGTTCCCTGAGCCTTGTAAAGGAGAGAAAGCAGCTGCAGTCTTGATCTGGTCGGCTTCTCAGTGGGGAGCAGAGGTAGGCGTGACTCTGAGCATGAGATAAAGCGGTTTCGGCTCAGGAGCAGGGCGGTGAGTGGAGGGAAGGTCAGCAGGAGGTGTCCTGGTAAGGGAATTTTGCTTGGACAGGGTTTTTGTTGAAGGCGGGCCAGGGTGACCAGAGGTCTTCTGGGGATGGTAGAGACTGAGGAAACTTCCCTGGATGGAGTGGTCAGGGGTCTGGGGGTCCAGGGCGGGGACTCTTGGCAAGCTGACTTAGCAGGGTTCTTTCTAAAAGCAGACTCTATGCGGAAGCCTGCAGAGGTCAGAGGCTGGAGAGGCTGGGGTGTGTGTGTAGGGGTGGGGGGTCCTGGCAGGAGCGAGGCTGTGCTAGAAGGTGTTTGTGTGTCTCTGGATGTTGGTGGGAACTCCAGCTACCAGTGGGGACATGAGGACTACTACTAATCTTGACTGACTCACACACACGTGCCAGTACTGGGGCTTGAACTTGGGGCCTTGGGCTCTCAGCTAGCTTTTTCTGCTCAAAGCTGGCACACTTGATCCACACTTTCATGTCCAGTTTTTTGTTGTTGTTGTTGGTCGTGGGGCCTGAGCTCTGGGTCTGGGCACTGTCCCTCAGCTCTTCAGCTCCAGGCTAGTGCTCCACTGTTGAGCCACAGCGTTTTCTGCTTATGTGGTGCTGAGGAATTGAACCCAGGGCCTCCTGCATGCAAGGCAAGCGCTCTACCACTGAGCCCCCTTCCCAGCCCAAGTCCAGTTTTGTGAGATGTTTTGCTGGCGGAGTGGAGATACGAGTCTCGCAGACTTTTCTACCCAGGGTGGCTTTGGTGTCTCACCGCGAGAGCTCAGCCTCCTCGGCAGCGAGCCTGGCGGGCCGAGCCATCCGCCTGGCTGGTTTTGGTGTCTTTTTGTTTTTTGAGTTTTCGGGGAAGCCATGGCCCCTGGTGAGGGGCAGTTGGTCCTGGAGACCTGAGCTCTGCCGGGGACATTCCCCTGGGGGCTGCTCTTCCTGTTGGGGCGCTGACCTTCTTCAAGGTCAGGTTTTCTCTTGGACAGAGTAGTTAAACTTGCAGCCGGGCCTCACCCCCAGGGGCGAGGCTGCCTGGCAGCAGAGGTCTAGGCCGGCTAGGCCAGGTGGCACAGACCTGCTTTGTAGGACAAGGGAGGGGGGCGGGCTCAAGGTCAGTGGCAGAATCGCAGTTTGCTCTGGTGAGAGGCAACCTTTACGAGTTTTCTAGCTCTTTCCAGATGGATCTTAAAAGCTAGCCAGTGTGGGAATGTGACACAGTCTTGTGATTTTTAATTCCAGGCTGGCTTCAAGGAGCCCGAGACACGTCTTCACCCTGATGCTGCTGCTGCTGCTGCAGCGCGACCCAGGATGGCGGTAAACTCAGTAAGTGGTTAATGATCACCTCAGCTCAGCTCCTGTTCTCTGGTATCACCCACAGGGCATGCTGGTCAGCGTTTTTAACAGCCAAGGTGTGTGTGTGTGTGTGTGTGTGTGTGTGTGTGCGTGTGTGTGTGTGTGTGTGTGTGTGAGACTGGTTTGCAAGGTGTGGTCAGGAGCAGTGGCTGGGGTGAAGCCAGGCCTGCATGGAAGGAACTGGAAGGCCTCACTGCTGGGTAAAAAGTCTGTGTCTGGGCCACCTCTCTTCCTGCTCTGAGAGTTGGGAGGGGGCAGGGTGCTTCCAGAGAGCCTGGGGGGTGTCGCGCGTGAGGAGGCGCCGGGCAGACCTGCCTGGCAAACCATTGTCCCTGTCCCCAGATCTCTCCCCCAGGGAAGTCCAGTCTGGGTCTCCTGTCCTTCCTGAACGGGTGTTCATCTGATGCCTGAAGAAAGTGCACTTAGTACAACTCCATGCTTAGTGAAAATGTGTTCCCAGATCCTGCAGGAAAAGGCACCACCGGTTCTCACTTCCCTCTGACTGGTCGGGGCACGGCAGGAACTCTCCCGGGCACAGTGGCGGGGCGGGGCGGCCCGGCCGGGCGGGCTGGCGCGTTGTTTGACTGTCTGGATAGAGGCCAGGGGCTCGCACTGACTTTGAACCTCTGCTGCTCTCATCGGGATCAGAGACTACATTTGCTTTTCCTTTAACCTGGCTTCTGGTAGAAATCCTTGGGCTTTTGGAGGATAGTGTGAGTGAGATACTATGCACAGGTGAACCCAGGAGTCTGCATTTGACCCGGCCTCGAATAATCACATTTCCTGGAGGGCCCACGGGAAGCTCCTCATCCTCTCCTCTGGATGTCTGTCCAGGAGAACAACTTTGTTGCTGTTGTCTGTGAGACCATAAGAGACAAGAGTAGAAACTGAGCAGAAGAGGATTCATGAGGACAGAGATGAGGACCGACATGGTGTCCATCCGAGGCTGAGGAGAGGCATACAAAAGGAGGATGGAGGCCGGGCGCCAATGGCTCAGATCCTAATCCTAGCTACTCAGGAGGCTGAGACTATTATGTCCAGTTAATCACTCAAAAGCTGGAAGGGAGCTGTGTCTCAAGTCATAGAGCACCGGTCTTGAGCCACAAAGCTTAGGGACAGCACCCAGGCTCTGCGTTCAAGCCCCCAGCCTGCCCCACCCCCTCAAAAAGGAGGGAGGAATAGCTAATAAGGGAGGAAGGCGGGACACTGTGGTCATGATGTTCAAAGCACCTAGGTGAAAACGGAACTAGGCCATGCAGGAGAGGAATGGGGTGGAGAGGGCTGGAGGAGGATGGAAGGCTAGACGCCGTTCAAATGCCCTGTGCACAACTACTTACATACGATGATGAGTGAATGAATGGAAGAGTGAATGAATGGAGTTGCTGGCTGTGGGCCCGGGGCTTTGGGAGAGGCTGGCCTTGGCTCGGGCAGGAACCGGGAACACCTTGCTGGGCCGGGCTGCTGCGTCTGTGCTTCTGTGCGAACACACTTTGACCCAGAAAGAAATTCCGCGGGGAGGGCAGAATCTATGCCCTGGGCACAGACACAAGCCGTGTAAGGATATTGACTCCAGCAGCACTGCCAACAGCACCCTGGGCGGGAGAGGCAGGTGAATGAGGGCAGGGCTGCAGAGAGGAGAGGCAGCAGTGTCGCGGCTGCCATCTGCCTCACGACGCCGTTCACGCACCTGCAGCCACTGTGGGACGCGTGGTCAAGCTCCATACCCGTCCTGAACACCGCGCCAGGCACCAAGTGAGGGCTGAGGCGTTAGCTACTCTGGACCTCGGTGAAATTCTGCTGGCCCTGGCTCACGACAGACCCTTCCCACCTGCCCGAGAGTCCCGGAGGGAAGAGCAGGAGGAGAGGCTGCTCTTTTTGGATATTTGTAGTATCATTTATAGGCCATGCAGAATTGGGCGTCAGGAAGCTGATAAGAAATACTCGTGGCTGTCCTGTCCTATCCTATACCAAGATTTCGGGTGTCCATTTCCAGATGTCCATTTTTCCACCCCTCCAGGAAGAGATGGTCTCCGTGGGTTCTAGTCCAAGACTTTGCTACATTGTTCTTATTTCTATCCTCCTCCTCCTCCTTAGTATTGTCTGTGGAACTGGGGGTTGAATGCTGGCCTTGCATTGCTAGACAAGTGCTCTACCACTTGAGCCACACCCCTAGTCCTTTCGTTTTGTTTGTAGTTTGTTTTTGGAGCAGGGTCTTGTGCTTTTGCCTGGCTTGGTTTACAGCTGTGATCTTCCTGTGTCTACTTCCTGCGTAGCTTGGATGACAGACATGCAGTTCACTAGCCTGCCTGGTTCCTGTAACTCTTATTTTTTTCCTCTTTACTAAACCCCAATATTTGTCTGTTTTTCTTCATTTCAAAGAGTAAATAGCAAGAAGGGGGGAAAAACTAAAGCGAAAAACCAAACCAAACCCATGGTCAGTTGAGGATTCTGGGGAGTTCAGAGCTGTGATCTGGCAACTAACGAATTGGCAAAATTGTAAGAGCCCAGTTTGCAGCTGTGGGGTGTCGCGTGCTGTTATAAACTTCACCCCGCAGGCGGAGCTAGAGGTTTAAGTCATCTGTCCTCTCTCCACCTGTTCTAGGGGCCACCGCCGGGTATCGGACCTTTCTATGAAAACCATGGGTACCAGCCGGAGCACCTGTACCCCCCGCCGCAAGCTGCGCCTCCCAGTCCCTACGTGGCATTCCCGGCTTCATACTACCCGTCCCCCGTCCCCCAGTATGCCCCGAGGGTGCCCACGTACACCTCCAGCCCGGCCGCCGGCACGCAGCCCCCGTCGCCCTCAGGAGCAGTGTACGCCTCAAGTAGGACCTTTTCCGTGTTCATTTCCTATCATGGACCTTGGTTTCTGGGTCTGCCCTGTGCACTGGGCTCTTGCTTCAACCTGCTCTCTCACTGGCCCGGCACAGGGGTGCAGCCTGCCTGAGGCCCGCGGAGGGGCTGCGGGCCTCGTGTCCCCTCCAGCCCCAGAGACCTCTGCCTCCCGTGCAGCCCCGCCTGGCTGGCCGCGGATCCTCTGTCAGTCCTGGTCTCTGTCCGTGGCTCACGGATGTATCCTCTTTGGTAACTGGTAAAGCACTCTTGGGTGGGAATAAATGATGGGAACGTGTGTGTGGCTTGCGGGGACCTGAGGGTCGCCAGTCGGCTGACGCACAGTCACGTTGCTTTGGGGTCAGCGAGTGGCGCAGATTTAGCGCGCTCTCACCGCTGCTAGAGAACCCAGGTGGAAGATTGGATTTCTTTTGGGACTCACTCCAGTCCTGCGTCTTCTTCCTTCCCTCCTCTCCGTCCCTCGGTCTCCATGTCTGCAGTGTCGGTGCTGGCTTTCCCTTCAGGCTGGCTTCAGAGTTGGGCGCGGCCCAGGCGTGGGACCTGGGGACGTCACTGCTGCGGGGTCTGCGTGTGTGACGCAGGCACGGGGTCTGTGCTGGCCACACAGTGAGGGGTCAGTGGAGAAACCGTCTCCATGTCCTCCCCGCAGCCAGCTCAGCACGCAGCCGCCTCCCACATCCACTGCGGCCATCTCCACTCACCTGTGTGGCAGCTCCCCTCTCTCACCCTGCAGTGGCTCCTCCATCTCTCTTCCTCCTTCCTCCTCCTCCTCCTCCTCCTCCTGCTCCCCCTCCTCCTCCTCCTCCTCCTTCCTCCTCCTCCTCTTTCTCCTCTTCTTCCTTCTCCTCCTCCTCTTCCTCCTCCTCCTCCTCCTCTTCCTCCTCCTTTCTCCTCCTCCTGCTCCTCTTCCTCCTCCTCCTCCTTCTCCTCCTCTGCTTCCTCCTCCTCCTCCTCTTCCTCCTCCTCCCCTTCTTCCTTCTCTCTCCTTAAATTGGGCAAGTATAAACTTTAGCTTTGAAACTATTCTCCAAGCTATCATTTCAGAAGTCCCCACTAGAATGTAAGTGGTGGTTTGTTTTTGCTTTTAATCCATTTGCTCTAGCAAGCCCTGGAGATGTTTCGTTTGACCGGCCAGGCTTGGACCTCTGACACCTGCATCTGCCACACTCAGATTCTCCAGTCCTGGGGGGCAGAGGGCCAAGAGCCACTAGAGGCCTTGGTGAACCACACCCGGCCAGACGGAGGAGCGGCGGCCTGTGCCAGCCCTCCACACAGCTCCCCAGGGCCACGTCAGGTCTCAGAACAGAGGAGAGAGGGTGTCCTCCTGTCCACTTACTCTAAGAACCCAGTGCTGGCAGCTCACGCCTCTAACCTCAGCCTCTCAGGAGGCTGAGATCTGAGCCTCAGAGTTCAAAGCCAGCTCAGCCAGGAAAGTCCATGAAACTCTGATCTCCAATTAACTAGAATAAAACAATGCCAGATAGTGGAAGTGTGGCTCAAATGGTAGCGCCAAAGCTCAGGGACAGCACCTAGGTCCTGAGTTCAAGCACCTAGTACCAGCACCACAGATGCCTGCTCCCCTCCACCCCACCCCCCTACCCCCAGTGAGGTGAAGTGGGCCTGAACTCAGCAGGCGAGGTATTGGGGCACTGCGGGCTCCGGCCTCCAGCACGCGGGCAGGTGCTTGCCTCCGAGCCTCCTCAGTTGATCACACATAAAATGGCATGCAGAAGAGTTGCCCCAGGAGCAAAGCGTTCCTGGAGAGAAGTGCCCTTGGTATGGGGCAAAGAGGCCGCTTGGAATTCCTCCCAGCCGCCTCTCGAGGGCTGTGTCCTGCTGCCCGGGACACTGCGCCAGCCCCCCACCCCCAGCTGAGCTTTGGTGAAGTCTCTCCTGGCCCTGGTTCTCGGCTCAGTGGCTGTGGTCTCCCCTGGCAGCCCGGGCTGGGCGCAGAGGGCCCAGGGGACAGGTTCCATCTCCCCTGGGAGTGCCCGCGGGCAGGAGAGTGATTTGAGAGCAGTTGTAGACGTCACCAGGGGTGGAGACACGTTGAGAGGTGAGGCTTGGAGCCCCGGGACTCCGGCCTGTCCACCTCCACCACCCGAACCCTTCCTGAGAATTCAGCTCCGCAGCCTCATGCGTGCAGGTGCTCTACCTCCCGAACCACGGCCGGGCCCTGTCTTCTGAGACTTGGGGTGCGTCTTCCGGCTTCAGCTCTGAGCAGCCAGGCCAGACCTGATGCTTTGGGCTGGTGAAAAACCTGTGAGGTCCTCCAACTCATTTATCCTTGGCCGGATTGTTTCGTCCTTTACATGACTTTATTTTTTCATTCTGGCCTCACCGGGAGCTCTCTGCTCCTTAGGCCGTGGCTCCCTGGCTGGCCTTGCCCCGCAGGACTCTGGGCAGCAATTGGAGTTTTCTCTGGGGGTTGCCCAGTCCAGGGTGCTAGTCCGCTGGCCGCCCGGGGCTGCAGCGCACCTGGAGTTATACGCTTCATTGAATTTATGGAAGTGTGAATAGCCAATCACGAGGACAGCTCAGCCCAGCACTGAGCTGACAGGCAGGTGCCCTCCACTCAGCCTCCTCCTCCCCACCCCACTGGCGTTTCGTTTGCTTTTCAGATAGGCTCTCCTGTTAGCTCTGTCCGGGAGCCAGCCTCCGGTCCCTAGCCTCCTGCCTCTGCCCCTCAGGTAGCTGGGACTATGTGTGTGTGCCACCACACTCTGCCCTGATACCATTTTTTTTAAGAGCTCAACTCTGGTGAACTTGGTTTTGAGAGTTTGGGCTTTCTGCTGTTGTTAAAATTTTTTTTTTAAAAAAGCATGACAATTCCCTCAAGTTCAGATGCACATTTGGAAGTATATAACAGTGTAACTCAGAGGCACATTCAGAAGTATATAACAGGTGTAACTCAGAGACAGGGTGCTTGCCTAGCAGGTGTGAGGACTTGAGTTTGAACCAGCACCACAAGAAGAATATACAAGCCAAAATAGAACTATTGTTGAGTGCTGGTGCTCACACCTGTAAATCCCAGCTACACAGGAGGCTGAGATCTGAGGATCTCAGTTCAAAGCCAGCCTGAGCAGGAAAGTCCATGAGACTCTTATCTCTAGTTAACTGCCAAAAAAGCTGGAAGTAGAGCTGTGGCTAGAGCCTTGAGTGGAAAAGCTAAGGGATGGTGCCCAGGCCCCGAGTTCAAGTCCAGCTGCCTGTCACTCCAGGCCCACTGCTCCCGGAGCCAGAGCTCCACGCACGGCCAGGTACTGGCAGTGGAGTCCACTTTCATTAGGCGATTCTACCCCGCCAGAGATGGTGGCCAAGACCAGGCCAAGCGGGCGGCGCGCTCGGCGCCTTCTCTTCTGACTGGGGTTCCCAGCCGGGGTGTGGAGTGAGCCTGCGGCCAGCTGGCTCTGTCCTCTGAGAGCCAGCCCATCGTCCTTCCCGGGCCTGATGGGGCCCGTTCTCCTCCTCTTCCTAGAGACGAAGAAAGCGCTGTGCGTCACCCTGGCCCTGGTGGCGGTCCTGGTGGGTGCTGCGCTGGCTGCCGGCCTGCTCTGGAGGTTTTGTAAGTGTGGGGTTCCCCCATCCCCCCGTGTGACCCCAACCCCTGTGTGGGGCCCTCCCCATAGACCAGCCACCCCTTCTCCCCTCTCTCCCCTTCCCTCCCTTCCGTCCCCTCCTCTCCCTCTCTCCCCTTCCCTCCCTTCTGTCCCCTCCTCTCCCTCTGTCCCCCCTCTCCCCTCTCTCCCTTCCTCTCTCTCTCTCCCCTCCTCTCCCTCTCTCCCCTTCCCTCCCGTCTGTCCCCCCTCTCCCCTCCCCCTTTTCCTCTCCTCTCTCCCCTTGTGTCCCCTTCTCTCCCGTGTCCTCTGTGGCCATGTGGGCATCGTGGTCTCCCATCGCCCCCTCCCCGCCCTCCCTGTGTGTCCTCTTAGCCAGTGGGGCCGCGGGCTCTTCCCGAGGTGGGGGCACAGGAGGCAAGCGTGCGGGATTTCCCTGGTGCTCAGGGCATGCGTGGCATGGCGCTGTGTGACCTGCCCTGTCTTGGGGTAACCTACTCCCTGCCCCTTCCCTGCCCCCCATCTCTGCCAGCCTTGTGGCAGCCTTGGGCAGGCAGGCCCCTCCCTCCCGGTGTCAGCACAGAACGTGGTTCTGGGGCCTCTGCCCTCTGCCTGGGCGGTGCCTGGCACCGAGGCCCCAGGAAGCAGCGAGCCCACGGCGGTGACCCCCACAGCAGCCACCCCACGGTGCGGGCGGTGCATGGGGGCAGAGACACGCCCCTTCCTCAGCGGACAAAAGAGGGGTGCTTCCTCCCGCACCCCAGCTCCAGGACGGGTGGCGGCCTCCTGGGGGCCCGGGGCGGTGTGGGGTTCAGCACCTCCTCTCTCCTTGCCAGTGGACAACCGGTGCATCTCGGGGGTGGAGTGCGGCAGCTCGGGGACCTGCATCAGCGCCGCCCTGTGGTGTGACGGGGTGTCCCACTGCCCCAACGGGGAGGACGAGAACCGCTGCGGTGAGTGGGGCTGGGAGGGTGGGGCCCCGGCCCAGAGGGTCACACAGCACGGGGGGAGAGGCCAGACCAACATGTCCTCCTGACTGCCACAGGGGCCTGCCGAGAGTCCCGGGACGGGGAGTCTACAGTTCTCCCGTCAGTCTGTCTATCTATCTATCTATCTATCTATCTATCTATCTATCTATCTATCTATCTATCTATCTATTATCTATCTAGCTATCTATTATCTATCTTTATCTATCTATTATCTATATCTATCTATCTATCTCTATCTATCTATTATCTATCTCTATCTATCTCTATCTATCATCTATCTATCTATCTTTGTGCCTGGCCTGGGGCTTGAACTCAGGCCCGGGGTACTGTTCTTCACTTCTCTTCTGCTCCAGGCTAGCACTCTACCACTTGAGCTGCACCCTCCTGTTAGGGCTATTTTGGTGATGATTTGGTGACTTTCCTGCCTCCCTGACTTCAAACCTCGATCCTCAGATCTCAGCCTCCTCAGCGGCTCTCAGGCATGAACCCTAGGCGCCTGGCTTTCAATGTCTTATTTTTAGGTGACAGGTAAAGCTCCGCGAGGCGCTGGTTCTCGGTGCGGGTGCAGCCCTCCGGGAGCGGCACTCACCTGCTTGTGGCGGGAGAATTTTACCATCGGTCCTTTTGGTAGCTTTCAAGTGCTCTGTGCACATGTGCGCATGTGTGCGCATGTGACCCTGTCTCCCTGGAGACCCTGGGCCCCGCTCATCTGATTGAATATGTGTCCCCAGCTAGCTTCTCTCCAAGCGCGCCCCCCCAGGTGTCTGATGGCCACGGCCTCTGCCTCAATGGTGAGAGAGAGAGCGAGAGAGAGAAAGAGAGAGAGGGAGAGGGAGAGGGAGAGTGAGCGTGCGAGGCCCAGGTGCGGTGTGCTCTTCTGTGTGGTCAGGGCGTCGCGCTGTCTGACTGGGGCTCGAGTGTGTCTTCGTATCTGCTGGTGTGTTCTTAGGTTGATCTTCAGAACTACTATTGTGACGCGTGCCTCTCACTTTTCCACCCTCGCTGTCCAGCTCGCTTCCCTCCCTCGGGATGTAAGTGCTGCATGTGCGCCTTTCCCTTTTTTGATTCGCACTGGTATTTTGTGAGCTCGTGTCTTCTTGCGTCTTACGCATGTCTGAGTCACAATTCACTCGTTTCGAGTTTCCCGGCTATGCTGGCACGAGAGCAGCACCTCACGGCACCCAGCCTCTTCCCTGGAGGTGGAGTCTCTTGGACTTATCTGCTCAGGGTAGCTTAGAACAACGATCCCCCAGATCTCAGCTTCTCGTGAGCCCCGAGTGCGGTGGCAGGCCCTGCCACTGCGTTGATGAAGCTCACGCACTGGGCTGGCCTCCAACCACAATCCACCTTTCGCAGTCTCCAGAGTAACCAGCCTCTGGCTGACATCTTTTTAGACTGGTCGTCTAACAGGTGGGAGGCACTCTCTCCTCGTAGCTTTCACGGTGTTTCTCCACTTTCTAGTCATCTCTGAAGGTGACCTTGAGGGAAGCCAGATGGCCCCGGGCTCTGCGGCTCTGCTCTCCCCCTGCTGGCACATCTGTTGCACGGAACCTCTGTGCTCTGGCTGTCTGCCCCACCCTGCCCCGCAGCCTCCAGCGGCCACGGGCTTGTCTACTGTCTCCAGAGTTTTGTCTTTTCCAGAATGTTCTGTGGTTGGAACCCCATAGTGCATTGCCGTCCCAGCCTGCTTCTCCCACACTGGTCTGCGTTTAGAATTCCTCGGGGTCTCATTTCCCTCAACTGGGAGTCAGTCCCCGCCCCCGTGGTCCAGCCCCCGTGGTCCATCTGCAGGACAGAGGCTGCTCCGTCCGGTAACACGTGGCCAGGCCTCACAGGTTATGTGGGTTCTGTCCCTGCCAGGGCACTGGGCGCCCTCAGCCCCAGCGTGTGGCATGGGAGGCGGGCCAGGCCTCAGTTTACCCTTTGTCTTCCCCCAGAACTCAGCACACTGTGTAGGAGCGTTTACACTCAGACCCAGGTGCCCTCACAACTTGTGATTATTTAGTGATTTATTTACGGGTGCCAGTACTGACGCTGTCCTAGAGTGCTCAGGGCCAGTGCTCTACCCCGTGAGCCACAGCCCCGCTTGCAGCCTTTTGTTATTTAATTGGAGATAAGTGTCTCATGGCCTTTCCTATCCCCACTGGCTTTGAGCTTCCATCTCTGGATGCAGCCTCTTGAGCAGCTGGGATGGCAGGTGTGAGCCACCAGCGCCTGGCACCTTATTCATTCTTTCTATAAAAATTTACTTTAGGGTTGGGAAGGTGGCTCAGTGGTAGAGCGCTTGCCTTGCATGCCTGAGGCCCTGGGTTCGACTCCTCAGCCCCACATAAGCAAAAAGAAAAAAAAAGCCAGAAGTGGCGCTATAGCTCAAACAGTTGAGCACTCGCCTTGAGCTGAAGTGCTGAGGGACAGCGCCCAGGCCCAGAGTTCAAGCCCCACAACCGGACCCCCCCAAAATTATTTTATTTTTAAATCTTTAATTTTTATTGTTATTATAAAAGTGGTGTACAACTTGTTCGGGGGCAGAGGGAGTTGGGGAGGTGGAGGGAAGGGATGGTGGGGGAAACAAAGGCAACCATGCTCAATAGGAAATGTACTCAGTACCTTGCTCATGTAACTGTGTCCCCTCTGCACAGCATTTTTACAATAAAAAACATACAAAAACAGTGATGTACAGAGGGGTCACAGTTCCGTGAGTCCGGTCTGATACATTTCTTCTTGGACAGTGTCACCCCTGCCCTCTCTCTCTCCTAGTTTTCCCCACCCCCTTCCCCCAGTCACAAGTTGTATAATTCCTTTTCCAGAGTGTCTAGTGAGTACCACTGCTGCATTGTTCACCCTTTGTCCCTCCATTCTGTGTCCTCCCTACCTGTCCTCTCCCCTACCCAGAGACAGGTAAATGGACAAACAAGAGAAAAAGAAAAGACCTCTTGTTTCCATTTCCTGGAGTTCGTTTTGATTAAGATGATTTCATATGATCAGAGGCGGGGTGCCGCGCCCGCGTGTTCCTTCCCGAGTGTCCTCCGGCCATGTCCCCGCGTGTGAATGCCTGAGTCCTGATCATTGATCATGCCCGGGGGATTCTAGGGGCAGCTTCTGCACCATTGCCCTAGTCAGTGTTAAACCAGCCCGGCAGGCTGTCCTGTCTGCACCCCAGATGCGCGGGTGGCGGCCGCATGCAGTGGCGGGCACGGGCTTCCATGCCCCCCTCCATCTTCTGTCCCCCCCAAGGGACTCCGTGCCCCTTCCTGCCTTCTTAGATTTTCTCGTAAGTGTGGACTCGGGCCACGTGTGGGCCTTGCGTGGCTTCCTCCCCTCGGCCTCGTGTGCGAGGCTGGCACCGCGCCATGGGCGCACAGCGTGCTGGCAGCGTCCACGCTCTGCGCCCCGCGTAGTGCTCCGCAGCAGCAGCAGCAGCAGCAGCAGCAGCAGCAGCAGCAGCAGCAGGCCGTGGCTGCAGCGCCTCTGCGTGACACAGGGCCGGGAGTCGCGGGGTTCCCCCAGCAGTGGGGACCACGGCCCAAAACTCACCAGGAATCTTGCTTGTCATGCAGTTCGCCTCTACGGACCAAACTTCCTCCTTCAGGTCTACTCGTCCCAGAGGAAGTCCTGGTACCCTGTGTGCCAAGACGACTGGACCAGCACCTACGCCCGGGCGGCCTGCAGGGACATGGGCTATCAGTGAGTACCGCGCCCCCTGGAGGCCGTGTTGGCTCATGGCAGTCGGACGCAGGTGTCTCCCAGAGCCTTGTGTGTACCCCCTCCCCACCATTCTGCCCCCTCCCCCGCCACCCTGCCCTCTTCCAGGGTCATTGCCACCCTGGCCCTCTGCTCCCTGATTCCCTGGGAACATCCTCCCTCGGGGGTGTAACCTGGGGGCTGAGGGGGGCCCTTGGCCCATGAGCTTCTAAGCTCAGGCTGAGTCTTTGCTCATTGCCTTCCTGTGGGGCCATTGAAGGGGAGAGAAGCGACCCTCAGAATTATACTTAAGAAATTCCTAGGGCCTGGCGCTGGTGGCTCACGCCTGTAATCCTAGCTACTCAGGAGGCTGAGATCTGAGGATCGCAGTTCAAAGCCAGGCCAGGCAGGAAAGACCGTGAGACTCCTATCTCCAATAAACCACCAGAAAACCGGAAGTGGCGCTGTAGCTCAAGTGGTAGAGCGCTCGCCTTGAGCTGA